CTTGTTATCCTTGAGTCCCTGTTTCCATATAGCCAAGGTACCTTCTTGGAGTTCTTGGAGTAGAAGGCCACCATCATTTTGGTAGGGAAGTGAGGGGGTACCTGTAGCGGTACCTAGGTACCTGTTCAATTTTTCACAAAAATAGGTACCAAGTACCGCACCTGGCACCTCCCGACGGGTGCGGGGCGGGTGTGAAGGGTACCCCCCAAGCGGTACTAGGTACCTAGCAAAGGGTACCGCGGAACAATCTCTAGTCGATTCCCAAACCCGGCTTTCCCCAAAATTTGCAAGTCAATTCCCCAAATCCATCAGTGGGTTTGGTAGTCGGCCCCCCAAAAAAATTAAAGAAAAAAAAGAAAAACCCCGGAGGATTTGGGTTGGGGGGTCAGTGATCAAAAAACAAAACCAGCGGCTGGGAGGATTCCTCCCGGCCGCGGAGAGTGCTCTCTCAACAGCAGGCAGAATTTCTCTTGGGCGTTACATAAGGGTATAACCCTCTGTTGAAATCTGAGCTGGTGGCACAGTGAATTTTTAGAGAAGGGCAGCAATCCTTTTCAAGTCTTACTGAAACGGACTCGTGGTGCAAAAGGAAGGAGGAGAACCAATGGTTTTTAATTTCTTGTACTAGGTTAGGTTAAAATAAACTAGGTACAAGAGTTTGAGTTGTGGTTGTGAACCAGATGAATAAAAAAGAAAATGAATAGAAATAAAAGAATAATCAAGAGAGAACAAGAGGGTACAACAACAAACACTAGAAATGGAGTATCTTCAGCCAAGAAGATAAGCAAACATTGATGAGAGAAAATAAGCCCTCCTTGATCAGGGTTCTATGACTACAAGTCAGGGGGTCAGATTTCATAACATAATGATGAGACAGACTATAGTGGTGAAGATCTTATGACGGTGAGAGAGTAGATCCAGATGATCACTGAGATTAAGATAGAGGCAGAAGTGAGAAAGATAGAAGAGAGGAAAGAAATAGAGACGAAATTCCAACACCCTCAACGGCCAAAGTAAACCTCTCGGCCATCAAGGGTGTACACCTCAACGACCAAGAGGGTTTCCTCTTGGTTGTTGAGAATGTAAACCTTCAACGGCCGGGAGGAATCCTCTCAGCCCTCAAGAGTGTATACCCTCAACGACTGGGAGGTACACTCTCGGCCGTTGAGAGGTTTACATTGTCAACAACCAAGAGGAAACCCTCTTTGGTTGTTGAGGTGTACACCCTCAATGTCCAAGAGGTTTCACTCGGCTGTTGAGGGGTACACCCTTGACGGCTGAGAGGTCTTGACGGCCGAGAAGTTTCCCTTGGCCGTTGAGGTGTACTCAACAGCCAAGAGAAGCCCTCTTGGCCGTCAAGGTTGTAGACCCTCAATGGCTGAGAGAAACTCTCTCGGCTGGGAGGAATCCTCCTGGCTGCTGGTTTTTTTTTATCACCAACCCCCCAAAACCAAGTGGTTTGGGGGCATTGACACCCAACCCCTCCAGGGTTTTTCTTTTTTTTTATTTAAATTTTTTTGGGGGGCCGACTCCCAAACCGACTGATGGATTTGGGGAATCAACTCCCAAATTTTGGGGAAACCCAGGTTTGGGAGTCGGTTGATCAAGTCCCTTGATATATGTCATTCCAATCAATCTCTGTCTTTTTTCCTTCTTTCTTTATTATGCTATGAAGTAATTAATATAAAAACCAAAACAAAACAAAGAAAAAAAAAGAGAAAGTGTTGTCTAGTTAACTGATCAGTTCAAAGCGTGCGCTGTTTCTCTCTAAAAAGGGGAGACATTGGATAAACATTTCTCAATGTTTTGCTTGATTGCTTGCAATTGGTCAATTGTAGAGGCACTCATAAATGTCTTGTTTGATTGATTGTGATAGTAGAGCACTCATAAGAAACAAGAGGACGCACAAGAAAATGACATTAAAACATTGAATTCAATTTGTATTTCCGGGTTGCATTCATCACAAGGGACTCATAAGCAAAATAAAAGACAAATAGGAGGATGAGCTAGAGTTCCCTCAAAGAGATGAAAGTATCTGTTTTCTTCTCAAATTAAAATATTCCTTGGCATCATTATCAATATTTGAGAGGTCCTGGTTCATAATCATCACATCATTTTTTGCCGCTCCATTCTTAGCCATCATTTGTAACAATTGCACTTCCTTGTTGAAGATGTCATTCTGGTGTTTGTGCTCATTTTCAAACCAAGTGTGAGCTTGAGCAATCATTTCTTCCCAAGCTTGCTCATTCAATTTGATGTGGTGGAGTCTCTTTGCCTTCTTATTCCCAATTGGACAATCAAGATTAGAGTGGTTGGTTGCATTTGCTTCAAAATAAGAAACCACATCCAAAGTGGAGGAAGTGGTGGCTGGAGCGTTGCTGCTGGGGCTTCTAGCTCATTTCTGTTTTGTAGTAGAATCTTGATTCTTATTGCTGGTTTCATTGATGTAAGTACACCATTTTGGGGGATTTGATAAGGATGTTGTAGCATTGGAGATCCTTGAACGACGTGTTGTTGTCTTCAAAAAAAATCTTAAGGCTCGATTAAAACAGTCCTCTGGTGACATTCCACTTTTGTTGATCTGCTTGGCTTTGCTAAATCATCCTCAAAACCCATTGATCACTTTTTGCAATGAAGCCCAGAAAGCTTTCATACTACCAGATGTTTGAGCCAAATCCTTGAAGGTTTGCTTGACTCATCTCCAAATGGTTACCCCCTCCTGATTTGTACCAAAAATGGGATCCTCCGATATGATTATCCACAATTGACAGAGTTGTACGTCCTCATTCTCAGTATAACTAGCCAACCGTTGTTTTCCAGCATTGTCTGTTTGTTGAATTTCAGGCAGTTGACATTCTGTTTGACTTTGTTGTCTCTTAGTGGCTTTTTTGAGCATTGGGTCAAGTGGGATCAATGGCGGAATAGCGTAAGGAGCCATGTCAATGGTGTTTGATGGTGAAAGTTGGAATGGGGATTGGGGGATATGGGGAAAGGGGAGAGGGAGAATCACAGGTTTGATACCTGTGATACTTGTGAGGTTGGTTGCTATCCTGTTTGTATGTTTGGCAACGGGATAGCTCCTGGAGGGCTGGTTGCTATCCTTTTTGAGTGTTTAGCAACCCTGGTGGCATTGCTAAATCAGCCTTGGGTTGCTATAATTAGTTTAGCAACCTGCGGTGGAGATGCTATTAGGCTTGCAAATCCTTCCTGTCCCAGCCGAATAGTTGAATTGATTCATAAGCCTCTCCCAAGGAGAGCATCCCGCGGGGACACCACAGGAGAGGCTTTTTTAAGCTAGAGTTTTGGGTGTATGTGTAAGTTCCTCCTGCAGGGCTTCCTACACTTAACCACAATCTCACCACCCTACACTTTGTATACTCCGCACACATTCAATTGACACCTTATTGCACCAGTCTTCCGGGTTTTTCTTATGAGCTCTGGCCCAGCTCAACTCTCCAATCAATGGGCTCCCTCAATTTCACTGACCTCTCCTTCAAAATAATCAGGTATGTCGAAGAACAATAAACCCCCC